ATTGCCAGGTACCTTCACAGACTAATTGAAATGTCGGGTGCCATCTGGGGCCAGGGGCACGACAGTGGCTTGATGGGTCTAATCTCCAAACAGACAGAACAGCTCTGGTCGCACTCCTGCCCTGGGGCCTGACAGCTCCCCAGGTACTGCTATCTGTTATCTCTGGCTGAGGCTTTCTGCTTTTGAAATTTTTTTCTTTACTTTACTCTTGAGCTAGCCTTCAAGTGCATTGCTTTGGCAGAGTTGTAACTTCTGGATGAGATCTCCCCATCTCCTCTTGCTGTTTCTGCAGCTTTCTTTGCTGACTTTTAACGCGAGAGCAGTAAAAGGTATAGCTGAGAAGAGGCAGACGTGGCCCTGGGCCCTGACCAGTCCCCAGGCAAGAAACATCTTGATCTTATTTCCACTTGTTACAGCTTTTCAGCCCCTTAACAGTGGGTCTGCTGGGGCAACCAGCCACAGACCAGCTGCCTCTTGCTGGGGTTTCTGCTGTAGGATGCAGCATCTGTCTCGGCCTCCTCTTCAGCCCCTTTTCTTTTTTTTTGTGTCCTCCTGCCTCTGTTTCCAGAAGTGAGCTCAAGTTGTGAGGGCTTCCCATCTGAAATCTGGAGGGGCGCCTGAGGCTCAGCCTCTGTGGGCATTTGGGTCCCCAGCAGGCAGCTGATAGGAGCAGGGAGAAAACGGACTCCTTTTCTCCAAAGAAGAACTACCCTGACCTTCCTGGGCAGTGGCTGATCCCTACAGGGCTTGAACCTTGGATCATTGGTGTGCAAAGACAGAAGGAAGGAAGGAAGGAAGGAAAGAAAGAAAGAAAGAAAGAAAGAAACAGGTGGATCTCTGCTTGTAGAAAAGAGGCCAGCCAAATGGCTGGTTGTAGACATAGGGAAAATGCCCTGGAGCTTGCAGTGATGATAAAAACCATGGTTTGGGTGGGCTCTGCACAAAACCCCTGTCATTGCCATGAATCTGGCTGCTCTTCTGGCTGCTATTCTGCCCCTCCACAGTGCCTTTAAGAACATTTTTGTGCTCCTGTCAGCACAAAATCATACAAATGTTCCCATCCATGATGCTGTCACCAGGTGCACCGTTGCAGGCAGGGTGGGTGAAGGGGCAGTTTTGACATCGCGCCGTGTGTGGTGTACCCGTGGGCTGCTGGAAGCAGGGATGCTGCTCTATGCTGGCTACTGGGTTCTGCTGCAGTGCTTGCGCAGCCACCAGCCAGCTCAGTTGGGCAAGCTGGCCCAGCAGAGAGCCATGTTCTTTTCTTTCTCTGGGCTGGATTTTGGGTGAATCACTGTGTTGCAGCCATGGGGACGCTGGTCCTCATGCCAGGGAAGGGGGAGTATGTGGCAGCAAGGCTGGCTGCTGCTTCTGGCAAGTTGTACGTGCACCAGGGTTGCCTTCATTGGAGGTGTTTGGAGTCAAAAATTAGCCTTGGACAACAACTGTTGTGCTTCGGGAAGTGATGGGAGGTAAATGCCCAGAAGAGAGAATGATGTAAATGCCCAGAAGAGAGAAAGGCCAGGAGTTGGCTGGTATGTTTGGCCTGGCCCCACATCTTCAGTTATTCACCTGATTGTGGGACAAGCTCTTCCCAAGCCTTTGATTTCTGCCTTTAGAGTTTTTTGCCTTTTCCCATCCTAACCAGAACTGGTTTTGTAGAGGGGCTGGAGCAACCATCAAAGCTAATATTTCTGGCATTCCCTCTTGATAATACTGAAGTGTTTGATGAGGTATTTTAGTTCCTGCCTGCTGCTTTTTTCTGGGCATATTCTTGTTGACTTTAAATAGCCATCAAGAAAGTGCTCCGGCAGCTGCGCTGCTGTGCAGAGCGGATGGAGGCCTAGAGGATGGGTCAAACCTGTGGTGGACCACCTCGCTCTGGTGCTCTTGAGACAGCAGTGGTCGTTGCCACAGGGCTCTAGACAAAAAGCAGGAGAGGATACCTGCAAGGTGGTGTCTTGAATCCTGTGGCATGTGCTGGGGACTGTGTCCTCAACCAGCAATTGGCCTCAGCAGGTCTTCTGGCTACAGAAAGATGGAGGAGCTCTGTCTCTTTTCTGAAGCTTTTTCCCTCGTCCTAGCGATGAATGCATGGGCAAAGCCAAGTTCTTTTCCAAGGGTGCCCCAGGGAAAAGCCAGTCTTTTGGAGAGGAACTGGAGCGCCAAGAACTTTCTCTGAGGGGAGTGTTTATCCTATTATTTTCTGAAAATAATTTCCTACGACGTTGGGGAATTAACCTGCCAAAGTACAAATTACCCAGCAAGGAAATCACTACCTCCAGATTAATTCCTAGCTGTTTTGTCTCCTCTGTTTTTGGCTGATGTAAGTGTTAGGTAAATATTTGTACAACACAGAGAATTGCTCCCCTTTCTTCTCTTTTCCAAGGGTCAGAGAAATGTCAGCCATTGGCACTTGTGTGCAGCCGGGCTTCTGTGTTTGCTGCAAGGTGGGCTCCGTGCGGAACCGAAGCACAGACGAGCCCGGGAGTCACCGTGGTGGAGCAGCTGGCTGTGGGGGCCAGCATCCTCTTCCCAGAAGAGGCTGGTTCCTGATGCTTCATCATGAGGTTGTTTCAGAGAGCAGTGAAGTCCTGAGTTTAACAACAAACCCCAGTAATCTCTCCCCTCCGCACAAAAGGAAAAAGCTGCTTCTCTTGGTGTCCTCTTCTGGTGGGAGAGAACTGACTGTTTTATTCTTGGGGGTTTTTTTTGTTATTATTTTATTCCTGTTTTACTTGGTTCCTCTCTAATTTAGCCAGTCCTGCTTTTCTGGCTCTTTCCTCTGGAAAATTGTCCTCCTCTCTTCCATAGTCAAATGAGCCCTCAAAGCAGTGAGCGCTCAGTTTCATATGGACTACGAAGTCTGTCCCAGCCCCACTGTGAGTGGGACCATGTGTCCAGCTGCAGGACACCCAGAAGCAGTGGTTCCTTCCTTGTTGCTCTGAATGAGGTGGAAACTCACCTTTTATACATTATTTTATGTGAAGACACAGGAGTTTCTGCTTTCCTGTGACAGTGGATCCCTGAAGTGAAGCATGAGTCGTGCTTAGCTGCATTAATCAGTAGATTAGTCACCCAGAGCCTCTGACTGAAAAAACTTCTGCAGAAGATAAATATTGATGTTGATATTTTTAGTCATAGACTTAAACCCTTGACTTCAGATCAGAATCCTGGGGGTGGGAAGACCTAGATCAGAAATTTGTGGCTGAACAGCATCTAAGAGGGCCTGAATGAAACCCACACCTCTAAGCCAACACTAATGTCAGGAAAGCAGGACACCCTAGTTGCCTCTGAGCCTTGTCTCTCAGTTGCGTCTCTGACTACTTACTTTCACATTCTTGCACTTTCTTTTTATTAATTGTCCCCTTTTTTTCCCCACATCATAGGAGGCAGCTTCAGCATCTTTGCTTTCTGCTCACCGCTGCCAGACGCCGCAGCACCCAGATTCAGGACCGAGTAGAGACAGAGTTTTGCGACCCTGTTTGTAGGTGTAAGAGCTTAGCACAGACAGGGAGGGGGATCTGTCAAAGGGTTGTTTGTGAATTCTAGTTCCTGGGGTTGTTTTGGGTTTGCCTTTGCCTCTACATAGCTCAGAGATGTTTTGGAGCTGATTTAAATCATGTGGCTTGTAAATGCCCCCTCCAAAGCAAACTGATGGAGCATGCTCTTACTTAAACCACAGTGCATGTCCCGTGCTGCTGGGTTAGGTGAGCAGGTAAAGACGCGTGGGTGGGGTGAAGATGGGTACACTGGTTCTGAAAGGGTAAAGGTATCCCCAGCAGCGGGCTGTGCTGCCCGCTTCTGAGCACATCTCTGCGACTTCTGTCTGCCAGAACAGTGCAGAGGGCTCAGACAATTCCTTTCAATGCTCAGGGAAACATCCTGCTAGCTTCAAGTCTTTATATACCAAGGCAGCACACTTCTCTGGGCCTCCTAGAGCTTTGGGGATGATTTCCGTTTTTAAAGAAAATGGGCAGAAGGCCTGGCTCTCCTCCCTGGTATGTGGGTATTGAGCTGGTCTGCCACAAGCCTAGGAGAAGTAAGTGCTTGTGGAGGTTTTGGCGCTTGTGCTCTTCACAGTTAAACTGTCGTGCGGTGTAGGCACAGTGCTGAACTGCTGTCAGGTTGGTTAGTTGCTGATTCAATGCCAAAATGTTTAGCAGGTCTGAAAACTGCATAGTGTGAGCCACCATAACACTGCTGGGAGGTGTGAGCTCTGCCCACGAGCACTGTCTCATTAGCCTTGTGGAAGGCAGTTACAGAGAGCTACAAGGTTATATTGCATCTACTTGTCTTTGTCCCTTTTAAGCCCTGGAGCCCAACAGAGTCATAGAAGGAAGCAAAAGATATATCCTGGCCTCTGGATTGAGCAGACTGGGAAGGAAGGGGTTGTCAAATGAAGTTGCTTTTGAAACTAGAAGCTGATTACACTTAAATAATGACACCACTGCTAATGTTTTAGGCATTACAGCTGAATGTCCCATCAGGTGCATTCTTTGCCATAATTTCCATAAAGAAAAGAAGATTGAAAGCTTTTATTGTGCAAATAGGTGCATGTTCAGAATAGTATGATCTTGAGGGCTAAATTAATTAGGAATCTGGTCATTGTCTTATGCTTTTTTTCTTTGGGATTGATAGTTTAAAAAAATTGGTTGTCTTTTGTTTAACCAATGGGATTTTCTGGGGGATCTACAAAGAGGTTCCCAGTCTTGTGGTGATTAATGAAATCTCTGACATGTATTTTAACACTATGATGAATCTTTAATATAACAAATTAATAAGAAGGAGGGAAGAGCTTTTAAGGAAGACAAAGGCAATTTCTCTCTCTGTGTCAGTCTGCCAGCTCCAAGTAATGTAAACAAGTCCTAGTCTCTGCTGGACCATTCCAGAGTGTTAGAGGTCTCTCAGCCTCACAAAGGACCAGTTTATTCTGGTAACTGCTGCAGCTTCTTTTTTTAGCCTGTACTCTGACATCTCTTTCTGTTTCTTCTGTGCAGGATACGAAAGCTGGAGGGAGCTGGCTAAGGCTCTGGCAGACACGAATGCCCCAGGTGGGGACCCAAGCCTTCAGTTTCACTATCTGCAGAAGCTGGGACAACAGGTGAGGAGGCGTGGGATGTCTTCTGAACGTTTGGAGGGGCAGACCTTCTTTTCTAGTCCTGGCCCCAAGAGACAGCTCTCTCTTCATGCAGGAAAAAGAGCATGCCACAGGGCAAAATCTGAGCTGACTCACAGCAATGTTAATGTACAATGACTCCACTGTAGTCAACTGAGTTATTTTAGATGTACTAAGCCGCAGTGGTGGGCTGAAGCTGGCTGGGTGTGTGGCACAGGAAGGTAGCACTAAGCAAGATGGAAGCAGAAATGAAAGGTCAGGAGAGAGTTTGTAGCTCTCTAGTGAAGCACATCTCAGTGCTGTCAATTGAATTGCGTTGGAAGAACTTTTGCTTGGACCTTTTGAAATAAGAATGGGCCAAAAAGAAGGGGAGAATGAATTAGGTTTTAGCTCTGTGCTAGCAAGCAGTTATAAAGTGCCAGTATCCTTTCCCTGTGGTAGCTCACCATGGAAATTTGCTGTCAAAAAAGCCAGAGACCATTTTTTCACCCCACTACGGCCATGATAGCTGGCCTGTCCTTTGGAAAAGGAGCTTGGGAACTTGTTTTTTTCTCACATGTTCTTGAACCCTCTTGTGTAGGTGTCAGTGTCAGGTATTTATTAGGTTATTTTGACTTACCTCTACTTGTATTTCAGAACCAAGAGCTACAAAAAGGTGTTGACAACCCTGTGCCCTGGATGCCAGAGGTGAGTGCCTTTCTCCATCATTTTATGTGAGGGAGTTGTAGCTAGAGACCTGTGCAGCGAGACCGGAAGGCAGGGACCTCTGCCTGGAAATGCATTTGCTTCACTAGAAGTCCATTCCCTATCACCCCCCTCCTGGCTTAGTGACACTTACAGACCCAAGTAATCATCTGGAAAGACAGGAGTGTCCAGATTCCTGATCACTTGGCGTCTCCTCCAGCCATCAAGGCACCAAGCACCCACCCACAAATCCCTGAGAGCAGGCAGCCTGCTAACTCCTGGAAAGGTGAAGTTTATTCAGGGCTGGGAGTGTGTAGGGCCAAGTGTTCAACAAGCAAATACATGACTGTGGCATGCAGAAGTGTCAGGCTCTGCTCTTGCTCTGGCATTTGCTTGCTATTCAACCTCTGTGTGTTGTATGAAGAGATTTCTCCACTTCAGTGACATTTCTGATAAACAGAGACCTTCTCTGGTGACCCTTTAAAACTGGGGTAAACATTCTCTTTGTTTCCTTCATGCCTCGTTTATTCTTTCCTCCCCTGTTCCCTTATCTCACTATTCCTCTTCAGATAAGGGAGCAATGCAGCCTGGTGATAATGAGGGGTGGAGGGCATTTGTCTAATGGAGTCAGCTCACTAAATTCCTCAAGGCAGTTAGAGACCCACACAAATTAGAAATGGCTCTGCAGCTCCCCTGAGGAGGGAGCAGGCTGCCTTCCTGCCCTCGGGGCACTGGCCAGGAGGGAAAGCACCTTCCTCCAGCCATTGCACTGAGCAGTTTAGGTCCCTGGGGCGTGAGCTAAAGCTTTCCTGGAAGCAGCCAGCACCAGTCACCCTCCAGTGCCCAGAACCAGACCAGACCATTGATCTGTTCTGCTGCACTGGCTCTGGCTAGTGCCAGTCCCAGCTGCATCCTGGGGACTTCCTCTGGCCACAGGGCCTTGCAGGCAGCGTGTAGGCAGGGCTGCCTCCAGATGAGTAGCTGCTGGCCAAGAGCCAGCAGGAGGGCAGGGCCAGGACTGCTGCTGCACACAGGGATGACACACAGCATTACCCTCTCCCATGGCATCACATGATACAGGCTCTGCATGGCACCCCCCAGCTTCTCTGAGGCTTTGCCCAGTGTCTCTGATCCCCTCCATGATGATTTCTCAAAAGGATGTTAGTCTTGAAACCTACCAACTGTGGTGTGCAATGAGCCTTTACTGGGTCAGAAATGCAACTGGTGGGGTGCACACTGTGGCTTGGAAAAAAGTGTATGTTTAGCACAGGGCAGATCTGCAGAGGTCTCTGCTCTGCTAGTGGGACGACTTCATGCCCTTGCATGCTGCGGTGCTGGGCAGGGCACCCACCTGCAAACCTGCTGTCCCGGTGCAGCACTGCCAACAGGGGAGTGAGTGGAGAGGTGCGCTGGCCATGGTGAAGGGGCAGGACTTGGGGTGCACTGTGTGGGATGACCCCACGCCTGGAAAGGTGTTGCATGCCTCCTGCCCTCTCCTGCACTGCTGCCTGTTGGGAAGGACAACTCTGCCAGGCATCAGGGCTGTTGCCTCAGACCAAATGGGTTGGGAATTTGTGGGTGCCCCAGACATGCTCCATGTCAGGTGGTGTGTGGCAGATATGCCACAAGAAGGCTTTGAGACCCAGGGCATACGGATACCAAGACCAGGGAGCTGGTTTGGGTGTCCTTGCCCCACTTACACACCGTGCCGTTCTCCCCCATCAGCCTTCTAACGCTGCTCCTGTGAAGCACCTGCCTCCTGCACCAGTTTTCCCTTTGTCCCTATAAGGCAAAATTTCCTGCCCTTGCTGTGGCACTCTGTCTGTACCCAGATGTTAAGGAGAGCTACCCTGACTGCAAACAGAGGCCAGCAGTTCAGTGGTACCAGCTGTAGAAGATTGAGAGGGATCTATGGGCTCTGTAGAGAGCTGCCTGCTGTCCTCTTCACCACTGACTGAAATTTTTCCTGGCCTGAGGATTAAGTTTTTCTGTAACTCTGCCCAAATAAATTACCCAGGGTCTATAATTCCATTGTGCCCTCCTCTCAGCATCTCTAAGAACTTAATTGCAGCCTGATTCCTGGGGTGAGGGGTGGCAGGTTGCCTCCCACAGGTTGGGGAGCTGGGGTTAGTTTGAATAGAGAGGTATATTCCTGACAAACATGAATAATTAACAGAGTTGCAGGGTGAGCTGGCAGCCAGCATTACCAAAAAAGGACAGGTTTCTGTTTTCCTCTTTCAGTTTCAGGAGGTGAAATTGGTGTCCTAAGTCTTCAGGCTTGGACAGTGTTGGTGGGAAAACGTGCATGTAGGAAATCCTTAATGAACTTATACCTCGCGTAGGACGGAAAGTAGGGTTTAGCCTCACTCTTGGCTTCCTCAAGGTGCCTGTGCACATGATCCCTACCGCCACTGTCCCTTCCAGGCACCAGGGCAAAGTCTTCCAGCTCCCAGTGTCACCCACTGCCTCCTCAGGCTGCAGAGATGTGGGGCGTTTTGTTTCATTAATTCAGAAAGGTGCCTGGCTATCGCCAGGGTGAACGTGTGCTGTGGGACTGTGAGTGTCACCATTTGGCACTGCGGTACGTGCAGGGGGAGGATTTTCAGAGACGCGCCTGGTTAGCCTGATCCTTCTCATTTACCTCTGCAAAAGCTTCTATTCAGCTCTGAGAAGAGAAAGGTCGGGGTGGCGCTGGGGTGGCATTTAAAATGTCCCCCCTTTGTGTCTGCACAGCCTCGGGACTTCCTTCTCACTGGAAGCAGGTGCGAAGGATGTCCGGGGTGGGTGGGGCAGCTCCTTGCAGGCAGCGCCTGTACAGGTGCACAGGTGCTGCACGAAACCAGCGTGTTGCTCCAGGGCATCCCCTTGCCCCCAGTCTGCCCTATGAGAAAGCATCCTTTCCTCAGAGGACTAAAAGATGAAGCTATTCCTACTGGCTCTGTCCCTGCCCATGTCCCTTCCTTGCCCACTTGTGCCCATTGAGTGTCAGGGCTCAGCGGGACAGGGGTCTTTGTTGCTAACTTGTCTTGATGGATTCCTGCAAGTGCCCGGTATGGTGGAGCTTACAGCAAAGCCCAGCTGCTGGCTGCTGAATGTTACCCAGTCAGGGGAGCTGGGCCAGGCGGGAGGAGGGGCCGCGGCCGCTCTGCGGAGACAGAAGAGTCTTATGAACTCCAGAGTTTCCAGTTGGCAGCACAATGTTGCCTTTCTTCCCTGGCTCAGGCCCTCGCTGTGCTCCATTTACTGTCCCCGGGGTTGCGCATTCCCTGGGCTGCACGCAGCTACGCAGCTGATTTGCCTTCGTGATGCCAAAGCCACCCGGGATTAAATTAGGAAAGACCTCTCTTCCCCATCCTGCTGCCATTCCTGTGCAGCGGGATGCGTCTCCACAGCTGCAATCCTCCCAGCTTTGGAGCTTGCCCTGGCATCTGCTGCTGCTTTGGTTTTCTTCCCTGGGGCACTTTGCTTAAGAGGAACCACCGGGTGTGTGGTGCCGGCCCCCTGGGCAGATTTGACATGACAGGGTTTGGCTTTAGGAAGAAAGGTCTGTGCCTGATCCTCCTTTACGGTCTGTTTTCCTAGGAGAGGCTGATAATCTAGAATTCCTCACTAGAAGTAAGCGGAAATACGAAAGCCTCTTCATACAATCCCAGGGCTGCAGGCGGGTGTTAATTCAGCACGCTCAGCAGGATGTGTGGGCGCTGGGGCTGGGAGCCCCGCCGTGCTCCCCAAGCTGCGGGGGCTGCGGCGTCAGCACCAAAGCAAGGGCCTGTCCCAGCTGTCACCTCCCTGCACTTGTTAAGGTTCAGCTCTGCCTTCCCTTGGGCAATGCTGTCGCTTTGTGCCTGCAGTATTATACTCTGGAGGGTATCAGCCTGCCCAGACCTCCTTGGGAAGAACAGCTCTTGGGTGCGTGCTCCTGGGCGTACTCGCACCCTGCTGACGGTGCCCTTGGTGCATGACCTGTACCCATTTTGGATCCCAGCTGGGTTCTTGCAATGCTGCTATTTCAGCAGGGTGGAGATAAGCAACTGGGAAGTGGGGTTGGGAAGGGGAGGAAGCCAAGGGACAGGAGACCTCTAAATGGGAAGGCACAGACCATGTAATACCAGCTCCCATTTAAAGCCCAGACTAATGGCTTCTATTCCTGGTTCTGGACAAATCAGTCTATCCAAAATTTTCAAAGCATAGCTTAACTTGTTGCTTAGTAGGTCCTAACTTTCCAGCTCTTTGAAAACCAGGGTAGGTCCAACCTGGGAAGGCAACCGCAGTAGCCATGTTTTAGAAGTCCATTGACATTTCTGAGGAGCTGTGTACGTTAAATGGGAACGAAGGTGCCATATATCTATTGCTGCAATCTGCAGCAAAGCCCCAGGCAGGAGATTTTGGCTGCATGTTGCAGAGGGGACCCAAATAGCAAACAAAGGAATTTCTCAGCTTCCTGCAGTGAACAGCCGTGAGTTGAGTTGGAGGGACAGAGGTGATAGAGTTTCAAAACAGCTGCTGCATTGATGATTTGTGGGGCCTAAAATTAAAGCCTAGCTCAGTTTTCACTCCCAGAGCAGTGCTTTGGACAGCCAGCACTTATCTGTCAATAATGTTCTTCTTTTCCCTTTCAGAGGAAGCAGAGAGTGAGTTAGGCTTCTTTAGCTCAGGACAAAATCTTTTGCTTTAGAAAGGACTCTGAAACCATATGGAAGAAATGCTTATTATTTACCAGTTAATTATTTCTAATAGCTGTGAGTGCAGGAAAGCAAAGCGATCTCATTAGCTCCTGCCAGAATTTCCTCTCAGGTAGCTTTGTAAAGACTTTTGAGACAGGGGTGTCAGGCTAGAAATCCCAGGGACCATCTCTCACAGCATTGATGGAGCGCGTATTGCAGTGGTGTATGTCTTAATTTTAGTAGACTGCCCTCTCCCTAATACTGCCAAACTCTGTAGTAAAGTATTCTATTAGAATGGGACTGGTCCAAGTTTCCTCTGCAAACATTTGAGCAAGTCTAGCCACTCTTTTGGGACTTCCCTCATAAAGATCTATTTTGGCATTTGGCCTACCAAAGCCAGCCCGGCTCCATTGCAGTCCTGAGCCCCTAGAGCGTCCACTGCGTCTGTCTTTGCCAGGAGGGGACTGCAGCGCCAGCCTCTCCACGGTGTGGGAGTGTTGAGCTACATTTGATAGAGATCTGAGCCTGTTATCTGCAGTGTACAAACAATTCTCTAAGAAGAAAAACCAACATCACTTGTGGATAGCAGCAGACTGCCTGCCAGAAGATGCAGTTTCTGGCAGTGACTCGCTGTGGGAGCCGAGCCTGTTTGCCTCACTTCATGTTCCGCAAGAAATAGCAATTGTCATTATTTGTTTTGGCTGAGAAAAGTAGTGTAAGACCCTTGGGTGTGAACCTGGATTTGGCTAAGGGGCATGGGGCTTCCTACCAATTATGTTCCAATTTGATGTTTGTCACGCTTGCAGTGATTTATTTGTATCACAAGTCCCTGCAGAGTCCTAGTTTTCTCTTGGCTGCATCCATTGCCCTGAGCCCTCTGTGTAGTTCCTCTTTGATTTTGTGCAGCATCATTCTGGAAAATTACATCCACTTTGTCTGGCTGCTTTTCCTCTTGCCTGGTGGGCAGAATCCAGGCTGAGGGATGTCAGTGGAGGAGGAAAGAAGACGAGATAGTAGTAGAGGACGACACAGGTATGCAGACAACAGTCAAGCCCTGGCATTGCAGACACCAGTGAGAGAGGCTGATGAGAGACTACTCAAGAACAGCAGTGTTTGTGAATGTGTTTTGCCTGGCACTCAGAGATGGTTTTCACGTGCATGACTAAAGCCCATGGCTTGCAAGGAGCATTACTACATAAGCTGGTGCTAGGCCAAGTCTCCTCTGAGTCTTTCCTTCAAGCCATGGTTTATTATGAAACAAAACCCCAACTTGCCGTCCTGGGAAAAATAACTCCTTGAAGCAGTTTCTCTTCCAGAAGTGCACAGAGGAATTGAGCCCTAATCCACTGCACTGCTTCAGCCCTGCTAGAGACTCCCCAGCGAAAACTAAGAATTTGCTGCCATCTGTAGACATCTGGGTGCTGTTCAGGCGGTTTCCCCAGCCCTGCTCGCACAACCCTTATATAGGCAAGACAACCATGGCAAAACCTCCCCCGTCCCAAGGCAACCTATTCCTTTCTTCAGCATTTCCCCATCTAAGGTAGCTTTTACAGTCTCCAGCTTATTTATTCTCTGCTGTTGGATGCCGGTCCTGCGATGAGTGTTTCAGCGTCCAACTCCACTGGTTGCAGGCAGAGAGCTCAGGCTTTGAGGGAGGCAGCAAGCTCCTCCTTTCTGAATGACTCTGACAAAAAGAAAATCTATCCCTCATGGAGTGTATAGCTGAAATCCCACAGCAGCCAGCAGGCTTTTCCCAGCAAAGCTATGTTCCAGTTCTCCTTCAAGCATGGACAGCCTCTCCCGGTGGGCCTGGCTGGGTAGGGGGGACAGTCACCCAAACCCACACCGCACACCTTCCTATGCTGTCTGGGAGAGGACCCCTGCTCCTCCCAGTATTTCTGTGTCTCTTTGGATGTGCAGAGGCCATGCCACCCACTGACCCACCTGTCCTGCTGCTCCCCAGCCTGCTGAGCCTCCGTCTCCCTGTCCTTGCTGTCCTCCATGAGCTTCACCTTACAGACATGCTTTGAGAAAGGGATCTCCATCTCCCCTGCCTAGGGTGCCCCCTCTTCCTTGGGTCAGGAGAACAGCTGAAAATACCTTCTTGAAGGACATAAGACCCTATGCTCTCTCTGCTGGGTCACGGGGGCGCTGCTGCCACCCCATAGCATGTCCCACACAATGGCCTCAGAGCGCAGCCCTCTCGTTAAACACCTTGATGGAGGAAAATGGAGTGAAACCCAGCCACTTAACTGAGCCGTCCTGGGCATTATTACAGTTCCCTGATGCTGTCCAGACTGTCACCTGGCCCAACCCTATACCCTCAGCTGATGAGACACAGGTGTCTGGACCCAAGTGTCCTGTAATCAGCCCCTTGCAGCATTGGCATCTTCCTTTACTCTCACAAGCTTTCCAGTGCTGGGGTCCATGGTCAAGGCTGGCAGAACAGGGAGAGATGCAGGGAAAGGATGCAGGAGAGGGACACAGTAATTCATGGTGCCCCACCTCTGCCTCCCAGTTCCAGGGCCAGGCCAATCTGCACGTGTTTGAGGACTGGTGTGGCAGCTCCATCGAGCAACTCAGGAAGAACCTCCACTTCCCCCTCTTCCCTCACGTGAGTAAGACCTTGACACTCTGTCCCATGCTTCCCACATCTGCTTCCCAGCTGGATCACTCCTGCTCCCTGCGTATCCCGTCCCTCTCCATCACCTCCTCTGTCCTCCTGCTCCTGGGGGAACAGGAAGCTTTCATAACGGTTCAACCGTGGCAGCTCTTCTGCTGTGGAGAGAAGGCTCATTTTACCCTTGCTGGCCTGCCAGGCCTCAGACATGGGGTAAAGGAGCCCTGTATTTGGTGCTTTCCCTCCAAGTGGCTAGCGAATGCCACATCCCATTCCCATCATCTCACTGGCATTCCCCATGCAGTTCTCTCCTCTCTGCAGCAACATTGGCTCCAATTTGTCTCTCATCTCACCTACTATTTCCCACTGCTTCCATCACCAACCGTGCCCCATCTTCCTCCCAGATCAAAGCTCATACTTCCCTCTGTCCACCTGTCCCAGGGTTTTTGCATTTCCCCTTGTTCCTGTCACATCTAATTATTTTAATTATTTTTTTCTTCTTCCACTTCAGACACGAACTACACTGAAGAAGCTGGCTGTGTCCCCAAAATGGACCAACTATGGTCTCCGGATATTTGGCTATCTACATCCTTTCACTGATGGTGGGGTCTCTGAAGCTGCTGTGCTTAGTCTCTTCTCCCCTGCCCATCCCTCCCCTCCTGGTGCTGAGCCACTGGTGCCCTCACCCCAGCAAGCCCAACGTGAGGTCCCTCACATGGGCAGCCCAGCTAGCTGTGTGTGACTGGCTGTGGCTTTGGCATGGGTGAAACACATCTGCCTCCCCTGTAGGGTGGAAAGGCAAAGCACAGAAGAAAGCAGATGGAAGTGCTAGATAAAAAACAATGCTGTCATGAGCACAGAGCCTCATTGCATGTACGTGGGCACAGGCAGTCCTTGAGCTTTTCCTCCCTCCCTCACAGTGCACAGGGCTGTACGTGACATTTATGTTCCTGCTGTTTTCTGGGTGCATGAATACCATCTGACAGCAGCTGACATCTGTATTGCCCAGCTGCGTGCCTCTGCCCGGAGCAGCCTGCTAGCACTCACCCACGTCTCCTGGTCCCCTGGCCCTTGACTGCCATCCCTGTCAGCCTGGCCAGAACAGCAAGATTCAAGCACCTCTGTCTCCCTTCGTGGCTCCACGTGCATGTTCATCCATCCAAACACAGCTTCTCACACAAAAATTTTCTCTGGAAACAAAAGGGGAGGCAGGGAGACTTTGCATGGACTTCTTAGCTTTCCAGGGTAGATGTTAGGTGAAGCCAGTGCAGGAGGGATAGTGAACCAGTTGCATTTGTAATGTTTTGTTTTCAATCACAGCAGATTTAGAGAATTCAGAAAGGTTCAAAGGGATGGAGGGGTAATACCAAAAGGGAAAGTATGGTCCCACCAGGAAAAAGGGTGAAGACAGTATTTTGGAAGAGCAGAATCCATTCTGTGCATAAGCCCTTACCCCAGAACACTACTTACTCCCTCCATCTCTTGACAGGGGATTTCCAGTTTGCCATTGCTGCAGATGACAATGCTGAGTTCTGGCTGAGTCCAGATGAAAAGACCTCTGGTCTCCAGCTGCTGGCCAGCGTAGGCAAGGTATGGTGCATGCTGCATGGCTTCTTCCATCAAGATTTTAATGTTTCTGTGGTGATGGAGACCTTCCTCTCTTACATACTTCCTTGGATTACCCAAGTTTCTTCTCCTGCCCAACTACAAACACCACCATCACAGATGCCGGACAGGTATGACCCGACATACCTTAAGCCAGTTACGTATTTGCAGTGGTATTGAGACTCCCAGGTTCATTATTAGTGGACTTAAATCTGTCCACAGGTTGTGAATCTCACAGACAACTTACTAGGAGGAGTAGCTCAATTTTCCCTCTCCATTGCCCTAGCACAGTAACCGGGAAGAAACTCATCTTAACTAGAGCATTCTCTGTCTCTTCACAGACAGGGAAGGAGTGGACTGCGCCAGGGGAGTTTGGAAAATTTCGGAGTCAGCAGTCAAAGACGGTGAGGTGAGTGAGCAGAGTCCCTTGCTCCCAGCCACCTCTGCACATGACCAGGAACTCACAAGGACAAGGAAACAGAACCCAGACTTGTTCTGAAGAATTTAGTAATACAGAGAAAGGGATTACTCTGGGATATCTCCAAAGCTGAAGTGACACATCCACACCTGTGCCAGTTGCTTTGCTGATTTACTGCAGGAATCCAACACTGAATTTTTCTTCCCTGGAGGAAGCAGCCACCAGCAAATCCAGATTCCTCTATATGAACTGTATCCTGAGCTTCCTGCTTTGGAACTGGCCAGGTTTCCCAGAGGCCAAAACCCACCAAGAAGGGCTAAAAGGGAGTTATTCAGAATTAACTGAGAAGGGTCTGGAGTGCTCCAGGTGCACTAGGGAAGCTACTAGCTCACTGTCAGCATCTGGATTTTCTTGGCAGTCCTAACCCTGCTGACCCTGAGAATTAGGTTGTTTCGTGGGTGCGGTTGCTCTCCACTCATTGTCTGCTGACAAGCCAAGAAATGTTCCTTAATGCTCTTGGTGACAGACATGTTGTTCTTCACAGGTTGTCAGCTGCAGGCAGGTACTATTTTGAGGTGCTGCACAAGCAGGATGACAGAGGAACAGACCATGTGGAAGTAGCAGTGAGTCTGTGCAAATGGCCATGCTGTATATGCATCCCCGCAGAGCTTGGGAATGACGTTTGTAACGATTTGCCTCCTTTCCCAGGCCCCAGCTCCTCTTTGCATAAGATATATCTAATCCTTTCCAGAGCCCTTACCTACTTCTATGTGGAATAGTCCTGGCCACATGTCAGGACACATTCCTCTGCTTGCTTGGGATAGTTCTGCTCTCTCTGGTCTCTATTGCAGCTCTTTGTCCTTTCCTACTTTGGATGTGTCCTGGGGGATCTCAACTCATTCACAGTCTTTTGCTGCTAGGCAAACTTGGTCATAATAAGGAGAAAGAGGAAGCTGTGAGACCATCTGGTGAAAAAACATCTTGTGCCTGTTCTTTTTGTTCAGGCCTGGTTAACTCCATCAGCACTACATTTTAATGTGTTTCTCTGTTCCAGTGGAGACGGAATGACCCAGAAGCGAAGTTCAAAGTCATTGACTCCCAATACCTCTCCCTTTTTGCTAGTAAGTATCTTCACCACAGGTTTCCCCGAGCACCTCCCCATTCTTCCCAAATGTATCATTGATGTTTCACCATGAATCCTAGTCTAGGCAGGCCAATGCCGTGTGTACAGATCATTATAAGAAAGAAGTGGAGACAGGTCAGCAGAGAGACCGCTGGATGAGAGTGTGACTCATTATTAAATATAGGAGAATTTGAAGTAGGATTGGAACGTTATTTTAGGGAAATCTAAGGCCAGTGAGGAAGGACAGAGAAGACAGTCTTCAAGGGTGAGGGAAACTGTTCCAGATGTGAGAGTAACATGGGATGGAGGTTGCCCACCCACTTTGCAGAGAGCTAGGGGGAACATAGGGCCCATTAAATGGGAGCTGCTTGGGGTGTGCTGGCAGCTGGACATGAGCGGGGAGAAGGGGCCGCTGGAGCACTTCCAGGAGATTTCAGTCTGGATTCTGGGACACAGTGGGATACACTAGCGATATTGGGAGGTGCTGCTGCCTTCTCTATTAGCCTCAAGTCTCTTCAAGTTTCTGATGGATTTCAGCAAGCACATCAGCCCAGTCCTTGTTTTGTAAACCCTTCTTAGCACATCAGGTGATGCCTTTATAAGTTAAGGAGCTCCTTAGCCCCATTTACCTTTATCTGGCTTTGTCAACATCCCTTTCATCTGTCAGCATTTCCCCTTTCCATATCTGTCACTGTTGCCTTCCAGCTTCTCTGGGCTTTTTTCAGTGCCAACACTTTTGCCCATGGAAGACTCCCTGATATAACTGGAACATGTTTGCTGTGTCTTGTATTGCAACCTGCTGCTGTATTTTCTGAAACCTCCCATTTGGCCAGGACTAGGCTTTCAGTTAGGTTTTCTGTCTCCTTCCGTTTTCTTTCTGCTCTTTTCTTCTTATTAATTCCCTGTTATAGGGAAGATTCACATCCCAGAAGATCCCTTCATGGCTGGACACAGTGCTGCAGTCTCATCTTTATCTGGCACCTTCTGCCCATACAGTGTCTCCTTCTCCCATATCAGCCTTTGGCTGTATCACACGTCATCTTGTTCCTTCTGGGTTCCCATGTTGTTCAACACCCAAAAGGTGCTAACACTAACCTGAGTGCTCTTGGCAGCATGTTGTCTTTCCTTCCTGGTTATTGATTCAGTTCCCCTCATCTGAATCCCTGGAGATATTTAAGTCTCCTGGAAGCAACACCCAAGCAAAAACGTAACCAATACCCAGTCTTGAGTTTAAGCTTCCCATTGCTCCTGGATTACTGGCGGGTCTCCATTCCCCTGCTGGAGCACCATCTTTCTTGGCCACTGAAGGCCTTGTCCCAGGGTCCTGATCATTCTCCAGCACAGGAGAAAGCTCCACTCCTCAAGTTTATCCTCCCATTCATCTTTTCTGTCTCCTTTTAAAAGAAACGTAACGCTAATAATTCAGAAGTGTCCAGTAATTCCTGCCAGCATAGGGCTTTTTCAGCACATCACTGCTGGTGTATCCAAGGCAGGAGGTCATTTTCCTCCATTACTCATCGCTGTGTTTGTTTGCTTTCAGTGATAGCCATGTTCCTACCCCACAGCTTCTGTATTTGCAGCTTTCTGAGTCAAAGCCTTTCCTTTGCATGTTGTCTTTGCAGTGAAGCTCCGGATCAGCACCATTTAGGCATTGCTATGCCAGAGACAGCATTAGTGCCATGAACACAATGCCATTTGGAAAGGGCTGACACTGGAGAGGGGCGCTTGTTGCTGTGGGGTGTTTGTGCTGAGCACCAATAGCAGATGGGGGTAGAACAACCATAGCAGGAGTCACGGTTTCTGTAGCTGTAGCATCTGTCACAGAGGCAGCAACTACTGGGGTATCACTGGCGACACGTTGAATGACATTTCCAAGTAGTTGCTTAACTGAAAACTGGGGAGACAACCTGACTGACAGTGTTATATTTAATTAGACATATATTCAGGAGGCCTAGTAATAGGATGGAACAAGTTTGGAAATCCTAATGATATTCAAAATGTCAAAAATGGTCCAGAGGAGAAGGGGACAATGAAGGGAAACACCACCCCCATAGATTTGTTGCAGGTGTAATTGCCAGGAATGTTCACCAGAGGGCACTCAGAGTCTAGGGACAGAGCTGCAGCTTCACTTGGCTTGAGGGTCAGCCATTGTATAAACAGATAAGATCCATCTCGATAAGGTTTTCATGCCACCATAAGCCACCAAACAACATCACAGCAAAACAATCCCCTTAATCAGAAGTGTGATATTCTTGATCCAACACCTACAGACAATAAACCCACCAGGAAACAGCACAAGCACATACAGCAGATAAGGTGCTGCATTTTAGACCTCTAAAGCCAAGTCCCAGAACACATAAAAAAGCAAAAACAGTTTCCTCCACAGTGATATCTTAGGAAACATAATGAATGCTTATCGGAAGTTTGTTTTAATACACTCTGTTCAAGTCTGTCATTATCTCAACCACTCAAGCCCCATGTTGGGTGCCAAAAAGGACTGTTGTAGTTTTACACAACACTGCTTGCTCACCCTCCCCCTTCCCTCCTCCTGGGGATGCGGGAGGGAATTAAAGGAGTAAAGGGAAAAGAGACTCATGCGTTGAGATAAGAAAAATTTAATAACTAAAGCGCAGTAATATTGGAAAGAATAATAACAATAACAGTAATATATGCAAATATACAGATGAGTGATACACAGTGATACTGTTCACCACCTGATGGCCAAGGCTCAGCCCATTCCTGGAGAACGATCCCAGAGCAGGGACAGAGTCCCAAAACCCCAGTCCCAGAATGGAGATAAGAGCCCGATTGTCCAAGAGACTGACACAACCTGAGAGAGGGGCGACCCAGAGGGAGACAACCCGGAGCAAGAGAGAGAACTTCCAGACAGAGCCTCATCTATATACTGGGCACGAGGTGCATGATATGGAATAGACCACTGGCCAATTTGGGTTTAAACCTCAGGTTGAATACTAGGCTAGTAATTGAGGCTGTGCTCCCTTGTAGCTTCTCCTGCCCCTGCAGACACTGGCACAGCAGAGAAGCTGAGAAGTCTTTGACTGTCCTGGCAGCAACTATAAACATCAGTATGTTATCAGCCTTCTCCTCAGCACAAATCCAAAACGTAGCCTCACACTAGCTACTATGAAGAGAGTTGACTCTGTCTCAGTTGAAACCCGGACATTTGGGGCAAGGGACAAATTAGGCCTTCCTCCCCCTTCTGTTCTCTCTCTGGTTTCTAGATGAGACACTTTTGAAGATGGATGAGGTTGGGCATATCCCGCAGACGTTAGCCAGTCAAACGAACCAGCCTGTTGACACTGCAGGCAGCAAGGCACACCCAGCTGACATGCTGAAGCCTGACCCCCGGGACACTCTTTACAAAGGTAAGACTTGCAAAGCAGTTGAGGACGTAGCCACAGTCTCACAGGACATGCAGTAACACAGCTGAGATAGATTGTCCTCCTGCAGAACAGTAATCAAAGGCCATGCTTTTTTCCCCCGGTGCAGAAAAGAGGGGCAGCATATAATATCAGTCACTGTAGGAGACAAAGCACAGAATAAACCCAGCTCCTCCTTCTTGGCATCCAGCTCACACAACGTCCCCAGGCATAATATTTTCTTGTAAGTGCCACAGAGGAATGTAAAGAGATGAGCTGTGCAAGATAGTTTGCTTTATGTATCTGTTAGCATTTCACTTGGAAAAATAGAAACCAGGCACAGAAATAGCTAAGCTGGTGCATTGATTGGGTCCTCCAGCAATGTTTCCCAGTGTGTTTCTTCTTATCAGTGCCTCTGCTCAGCAAGTCTCGTGTGCGCAGAGCCTTGCCAGACTGCCCGTACAAGCCCAGTTACCTGGTGAATGGATTTCCTCTGCAGCGCTACCAGGGACTCCAGTTTGTAAGTTTTATTCCTTAAGTGTGTACTTGCCCAGGGGAACATGAGGAGGAAGGAGGGAGACCTCATTAACCATGGGAGCCTCTCCACCGATTTGAAGCTCCAGGGCAGATTTGACCATTTGCTCTTGAGGTCTGTGCATCGCAGTACATGCCAGAGGGCAACACCAAGAGAAGGGAGAGGGGTGCTACGCACTGCTCACGGGTCTCACCAGGGTACAAGTGTGTGTGCCTTACAGAGTCCCTTGGACCTCAAACCAGAGAGCTGAGCTTGCCTTCACGTGGGGCCTCCAATGGCCGAGGATTTTATTCTCCATGGGGTGAACTGTCATCTGTGTGGACTGCTAAACCCCTGACAAGCTTAAAACTGGTTTTGACAGGGAACTCACATTTGTGGGGCATGCAACATAGCAGGAATTAACCCGCTGTATAGCAGAGCAGACACTGAGGTCTGCTGAGGACAGGTCACTAGCATGGTTTTCCCTCCCTGGATGCCACACGCTTTCTCAGCTCCTGTGATCCCCTGCATCTCTTCAGGAGGACTTGTCCACCTCTCCTCCAGCTAGTTCTCGCTCTGTTATAGGACTTAAACACACAGTTACAGAGATAGACAGGCAGATGCTGAGAGACAGAGAGAGAAAAAGGCACAGCTGTGCACACATCCCAGCACGCTTTCTTCTGTTTTCCATTCTCAGAGCCTGCTGCTGGGTGCCTTGGAGAGGCAAATAGTGAGCCACCCCTGCTCCCTCTCAAAAGGGCTGGTCACCTTTCAACTGTGTCTGGGTCACTTTGTGACTGATATCTGGCATTTATGAGGGTTTTACTTTATTTTCGTCCTTTCTTTCCAGGTTCATTTATCCTTTGTTTACCCAAACGATTACAGCCGCCTGAGCCACATGGAGAAAGACAACAAATGCTTCTATCAGGAAAACCCTTATTACTTGGAAAGGTAGGATGCTGCAAATGCAGGTTTACTAGAAGGGAGGGAGAAGTTTTGAAGACTGGAATTGGGGTGGAATTTCATACTCACTTCTGTAGCACTCTCTTAATTCCTAAAGATCTCCTAAGCCTTGCAAAACATTAAAGCCTTTGTAGTTTCTTTCTGTAATTTATGTTCCCTTTAAGTGAAAATTTGTTTAGGTCTCAAGAGGAAACTGCCACTGCTTTTCTTGCTCTGTTAACCCAGCAGCAACCCAGCATGGTCAGACCATGTGTGTTCCACTACATCAGGGAGTGTATTTCCAGCAAACTTTGCCTGCCAGCAGCTGGAGCCTCATGATGGCAGTGGCTGTGAAAGCCAAACCATCCTCACCACCAGGCATCTCTCTGGGGGAATAAAAATGCATGTCACTCGTCTTCGCTTGGATTTGGTGCTATTCTCATGCTCCCCTCCTGCCACAGGCAGACACCTTATGTGAGCCCTCCCCTCCATTCAGGAGGATTTTCTTTGCAGGATAGAGTTACTTTTCCGGTGAAATAACTGATGGTGGCCTCCCTGTGCTCAGGATCTTCTTCCTCCCTGCAGGACTATTTTGAGGGTTGGAACAGCAGATTGTATCGTAGGTTTGGGAGGGAACTCCTGGGACTGGGGTTCATAGTGAAGGATAGAGAAGATGGCTGCCGTGGGCTGGAAGGTGCCACGCAGGTTTGTTGCTTTGACAATTAATTTGTGTTGTGAAAGGATTTGGGAACTGGGGGCCCTTTTTGCTTCACATCAAGCACACATGGAGGGAAACAGTCCTCGAAACCCCTCTCAAAAGCTTGAAGCACAGGCGTATGAGGACAGCACACAGACAGTGCTTGTATGAGAAGAGAGAGGGAGATTGTTGCAATTACCTGCCTGAGCAGCTTTTGCAGCATGATGACTTGCGTTTTTGAGCACTATGTTGTAAGTGAGCTTCAAGAAGCAGTTAAGGGAGGCTGACAAAGTGTTTCAGGGTACTCACATTGGGATTTCCTCCTGCGCTTATGGGAAAATGTCTGAGAGACTAGGATGATAAACAAGGAAAACTGACATCTTTGGCAGTCCAGAGTAAGATCTGATTGCCCAAAGATCTGAAAGACGGTGATGATGATGGGAAACAAGGATCTAGAGATGCTGGGTAGATGTAATCAGAGTAGTAGACCATCACCTCTGAAGCAGTGGCTATAATTTATTTGAAGAGGGAAAAGTAATTTTCATCAAACCTGTGTTTTGCCCTTTCCTCTGCAGATTTGGGTTCTACAAGTACATGAAAATGGACCTTCCAGAGAAGAACCTGGACTCTGGAGAAAACACAGAGCAGCCAGGTAGGGACCCTAACATCAGAGCCTGGAGGATCCTTTTATCTGTCCCTTTTGTGTGTGATCTTCCTGCATTGGCTGAAAGAAGCTGTTGACTTTCCGTGCCAAGGAAGTCACAGCCCTTCCTTGCCAGATTGCTGTGGCTTGGAGGAGGCTTTTTCTGCCACTTTCACTTCTCTTAAGGGCAGGTTGGGAGGTCACCAAACAGTGGGCTGTAATGGACAACATGACAATTACCTCTCAGGCTCGTAGCTTAGCTGAGGTGCAATTACAGCAAAAATGTGGGCAGAAGCGACAGAGCTTGTGCTCACACCTGTTCTGCAAAGCTGTGGCCAGATGGCCAGCAAAAGGCAAAGCCAGATTCCTCCACAGCCAGTGCTGGCTAGTAGGTGTTGTGGAGGTTGGTACCAGCCCGAGCACAGCTCCTGTGTCCAAGAGCATCACCCTCCCTCTGAGCAGGAGAGGCAACACTGAGATGAGGTGAGAAGTAGCTGCTTCTGGCAGGGTGAGTGCTTGGGTCAGGATGGGGAAGGCGGTGGGAGAATGACAGAGGTGTAACTGCAATTTCTCCTGAAGGCTCCCAGGAGGGGAACCTGGATGGTCTGCAGTACGCGGAGCAGGATGCAGAGAGCACCAGCCCCCCCAAGCACCCGGGCACAAGGAGGGCAGAACCGGCAGGCAATGCTCCCAGCAGCGTGGTGGGCAATAACGTTCATGAGGACTATTCCCTCCGGGAACATCGTCGACTCCTCTCAGTGACAGGTGGTGACATAGGAGAGGGGCTACAGTGGAGAAGGACAAAGAGGCCTGGTGGCAAATCAGCCACACTGGCCCCTGCCACCCCAAGCACCCGGGCACAAGGAGGGCAGAACCGGCAGGCAATGCTCCCAGCAGCGTGGTGGGCAATAACGTTCATGAGGACTATTCCCTCCGGGAACATCGTCGACTCCTCTCAGTGACAGGTGGTGACATAGGAGAGGGGCTACAGTGGAGAAGGACAAAGAGGCCTGGTGGCAAATCAGCCACACTGGCCCCTGCCAACCAAAGCCTGATAACATTCATGAGGACTATTCCCTCTGGGAACATCGTCGACTCCTCTCAGTGACGGGTGGCGACATAGGAGAGGGTCTACAGTGGAGAAGGACAAAGAGGTCTGGTGGCAAATCAACCACACTGGCCCCTGCCAACCAAAGCCTCAGCCAGGCTGGCCCAGAGGGGCACCCAATAATGAAGAGACCTCGTTTAAAAGCTGGCATCAAAGACAACTCCAGGAGCCCTCCACAGCACACCAGGGCCATCCAGGGGAGAACACCTGTCAAAAAGGCGAACCCCCCTTCTAGGACTGTGTCTCAAAGGCAGCAGCCTCTTGGCAGCTCCAGGGACTCAGGGGTCACGATCCCCAAAGAGGGGAGACCTCAAGGAGACCTCAGCACCGCTAAGGACATGCTGCAGCCAGCAGGCACCGTGCGAGCCGGGAAAGGAAGCCCAGTCTCTGGCAAAGCCAGCAGACGTGCTGTGGGCACTGCAAGCTCCAGCCAGCCCCCTGGGCTGCGGCAGTGGCTGAACAAAGTGGAGTCCTACATTGCTGAGCAAAAGGCAGCCAATGGTGGGGGCGTGGGCGAGGGAGAGGCACAGGTGGCATCTCCTGTGAAGGTCAAGTCTGGACCTGTGGCAGCAGAAGAGGAAGAGGAAGAAGAAGAGGCGAATGGGGAGCCAGAGGAGGAAGATGAGGAGGATTTTGATTACGTGCCAGTGTTCGACCAGGCGGTGAACTGGGAGCAGACCTTCAGCACGAGCAACCTGGACTTCCATATGCTGCGCACAGACTGGATTGACCTGAAATGCAACACATCAGGAAACTTGCTGCTAAGAGAAAGGGAGGCCCTGGAAGTCACACGTGTCTTCCTCAAGAAGCTCAACCAGAGGAGTAAAGGGTAAGGCACAGTGTATAAACCAAGGGGCAGCGTCTCAGAACTGGTGTACTATGCCGCACAGGGAATACCTGTTGTGTGAGGAGCTAGTGGGAATCAGAGGATAAACTAAATGTGGGAAAATAAGACTTCAGGCAAGGAATCTCTGTAAAAACCTGGGCTTTAAATACCTCTTTTGGCTAAGAAATGCAAACTGTTAGACACCAGACCATGTCTGGGGGCTGAATATCACCCTCTTAACAGCTGGTGGTAGTAATGTGAAAGATTGGAGGTTTCCATCCATCTGGCATCACTGCCCTTTTGCAGGCTTCCTCCTTGTGCAATGTAGGTATTGAGAACATGTAGGAGTATTTCATTTATTTATTTTTAATTTAATGAAGATTAAGAAACCCTGCTGATATGAAGTAGTACTGGAGCTCCTCATGCTTGTGGTTTGATGCCTGCCACATCTCAGCTTGTGAATCACTTAGGACATAGGACCAGAAAGGATCTATCAGATAATGTGGATTGGTACACTGACCTCAGATACAACCAAGTACCCTGCACTTATCTGCATGTGGGCACCTCCATATTAAAACTAGCTAGATTTCTAGATCCTAGTAGTGATTTGAGAAGATGTTTCAGCTTCTCACTTCTTTCGTGACCCACTGGAGATGAGCTTTTGCTATACTGTTTTTACATGGTCTTGATATGGTTCTTTTTCTTCTCAAGATTTACCATCTTGATTGCCTTTCTGGCTTAACCCAGGACACAGATGTACCTCCTCTGAGCCTCTGTAAGCTAAACAATCCAACTCCTGATCCTTCTGTTGAGTTGGCTTCTATTTCCATGATTTTCCTATCTGTATTTCTCCATGCTGGCTTCAGTTTGGGTTAGTTTTCCCATACATAAATGACCAGTATCCTGGATGTTTTATAGAATGGGTGTTAATAGTTCCCAATCCCTCCTGGAAGGAGCTCTCATGCTACATTTTAAGATATTTTTTGTTTTTTCAAGGCCACATCAGTCACAGCCATGGTGTAACTGATGAGTACATGCAAGCTTTTAGCAGCATTTTTAACTGATGAATGTCCATTTTACCTCAGAAACTCTTGTTATGATCTGAAAGGACATGACCTGGCATTTCATCCTGTTTTGACCATTCTGAACCTACAGCTCACCCCAGTTTTTATCGTATGATTGCTCAGTCCTACTCCGTGTTATTGTCTGATAAGCTGTCATCTGCCAATTTCACTAGCCCAAACACACTCCTTGTGCCAAGATAGTTGTAGGAGGTGTTGAATGCACTCACTATTACCAGCCATACAATCATTCAGACACATTTGTTATTTTCTATGTCACCTTTATTTCATTTCCCTTGCCAACTGTTTTCTCTTGGCTGGAATCCCAGATCTTATCCCACATACTTGTGGATTTAGGAAACAGGTGCTAAACCTTCCCATGGGACTTTGGAAGCGGTGCAGCAAAGCAGGGGGAAGCTGGGGACAAAAAGGTTTGTGCTAGCCAAGAGGAAAGAGCCTGGCAGAGCTGAACAGGCTGGAGGTGGGAGCGAGGCTGATGTATGGGGGCCATGCCCACCCCAGCTGTATCTCCTGCAGGCGGTTCCAGCTGCAGCGTATCGTGAATGTGGGGAAACGCCAGGACCGCATGCGGGGCAGCCGCTACCTGCTGGAGCTGGAGCTGCTGGAGCAAGGAGAGCAGCTCATCCGCTTCTCCGAGTACGTCTTTGCGCGGGACTGGCAGGGCATTGGCGGCGATGAGGAGGAGGAGAGGAAGATGAGGAACTTGGCGTGGGGTCACCGGCGGCACCTGATGGCTGTGGCGAACGAGCCAGAGCTGTGCTGGCCCCAGGGCTTTTCCTGGAATCACCGTGCTGTGGTTCACTTTGTGGTGCCAGGTAAGGGAGACCTGCCTTGCCAGGACATCGAGGGATGGCATGGTGGGCAGTTCCCATGAGGACAGTCCTGAACAGTGGGTCTGGGCCAGCCTCAGCTGTCTTATTTAGGTCACTTCCAACTTCTGTTCTCTCCAAGTTAACCCACCTCAGAAATATGACAGGGCCCAAACTCCCATGGCTTGTAAACTCAAAGAAAACTCATGTCACACACTGGGAAGGAACCTGCACTGATTCCTGGGCTCTTTGGTCCAGGTTTTCAGCCTGGGCCTATTTCACCATCCCTGCAAAGACAGTGGGGTTTGAGGGGAGGCAAGAAGCCTTGCCTGTTGGGAAGCCACACCATCTTTGAAATCAGTTTTGCTTTGATTCTCTCCCTCTTGCAATACAACCAGTGAAAAACCAGGCACGTTGGGTGCTGCAGTTCATCTCTGACATGGAAGAGCTGTTTCGAGTCACTAAGGATCCGTACTTCAACATCATTATCACGGACTACAGCAGCGATGACATGGATGTAGAGAAGGCTCTGAAAAGGTCTAGCTTGCACAGGTGAGAGTGCTGCTTGGTCACAAAAACTGCTCTCATGCATATGCCTGCAAACACAGCACATCTGACAATCTCTGTGTATTGACCAGCCCCAGCCTCCTGCAGCTGGAAACCCAAAGATAATATCCATCCAGACATTGCACATATGCATTAATATATTGTTGTTATAATGTATATAAATGTATACCGCATATAATACTGTTATAAAAGTGTAAGGCAATACCTATTGTAGTCATCCATCCAGATGCATGTCTTTTCTCCTGGCTTTTGTTCAAATTGCAAGAGAAAGCAGGCCTTACAGTCATAGGTCAGGAGGACAGAGAAGACAGCTGTGAGAAATGGAACAGAGAGAGTGGAGACCTCTGGGAACTCTGCTTGCTGGAATAACTGGTTTATTCTACTCTGATCTGAACCAGCCTTGGATGGTCATTTCCTTTACATGGTGGGGATCCCAGTAACAGGTCTAGTCCTAGGATAGAGCTGGACTAGAGCTGAAAAGACTTTTGCTAGGGACTCTCCCATCCTCGCTGCGGCACAAGGGGAAAGACCCTCAGGGCATGCTGGGACCTGGAGCAGCACTGAGCTTGCGCACTCACACAGCAAAGGCTTTCCTCCTCCTCCTTGAGAAGGTGCACGGGGGGCAAGGGCAGCTCCGCAGCACGTCACCTGTGGTATACTGCTGCTAGCAGTGCTTTCTATGCTCACTGGCATGCACGCACTGATCTTCTCTTTCCCATCTGACCCCCAGCTATCGGTACTTGAAGCTGACAGGGAATTTTGAGCGTTCTGCTGGGCTGCAGGCGGGGATAGACCTCGTGACGGTAAGCCTGGGGTGCCTTGGGGTGGACAGGAAGGTTTCTAGTATGTGTCTGGTGCTACCTCTGCCTTTCGTACTGAACACACTGTTCTTTAGGGAGGGAAATACCCTAGCACACCAGATTAAATGTAGATGTGTTTCCTGTCCCTCCAGAATAAGGGTCTCAGCCTTTGTTCTTTATTATATGAAGATACTGTTGTCTGTTCAGTTCTTGGTCCACCTGCTGGGACTATCAGACAGGAGGTAAATCAGCCAGTTGTGATACTGGCTCTGCCAGGTTATAGTCATAGTATTTCACACGCATCATTGAACAGCCACTCAATGGCCATTTTCCCAGCCACTGGGATCTCAGTTTCTGACATAGCAATGAATGGCTCTTTAATTTACTCCCCTATCTCTGTCTTCTTGCTTCTCAAGAAAGACTTACTTAAAGTTAACCTGTTCTCTCCAACTGGTGTGGTTGGTTTCAGGACCCACACAGCATCATTTTCCTGTGTGACCTCCACATCCACTTCCCAGCTGGAGTCATTGATTCAATCCGGAAGCACTGCGTGGAAGGCAAGATGGCCTTTGCACCCATGGTCATGAGGCTGCACTGTGGCATGTCCCCACAGTGGCCTGATGGTAAGAGGGAGTGGAGCCTCTTTGGTTCAGACTTTGAGGAATGGGGAAAGAAGGAGGGTGCCTGCCACCTCTAGATTTGTTCCTCTGGTGCTGTGAAGGTCTGGAGCTTAAGGTACTTCCAGGGTTACTAAGTGAGAGTGCATTAGACAGGGGATGGGGTTCTAGTGTCAGGTACCTGGAATTTGAGACCAGCACAGCACTTTATATGACATTTCTCCTGGTTGTCTCCTAGGGCTCTCTGTGGATTTGATGCCCTTGTGGAAAACCCCACCTTTACTCCTTTCTGTCCATTTCTCTCTTTTCTTAGGGGCCTACTCTGACCTGAGGAAACCTGGTAGTCTGGGGATGAGGGAAACTAACCCAAGTCAGGGGGAGGAAAGTCTGAGCGCAGGTTTTCCTTTAGACAGAGCCATCCAGGCACAGGAACAACCCTTTGAAGGTGGGACAGTCCAGGTACAATAGTACTGTGCTACTAGGCAGGAGATGTGAGAGATTCTGCTAACAAGTTCATAGGACAGCCCATGCTGTCTATTTGCAAGCCCTTCTTACTTCCCAAAGTTTTAATATGGTTGGCTCTGCCTTGGTGCTGGCCTGAGCCTCTGGTGTCAACATTGTGCTAGAAATAGCTTGAGTCTCACTCCAGTAGCCCCGCTGGAGTCATCAATGCTTCAAAGCACCAACATACCTGTGCCTCCTTTGTGCTGTCCTCAGGCTACTGGGAGGTGAATGGGTTTGGTCTCCTGGGCATATACAAGTCTGACCTGGACAAGATCGGAGGCATGAACACAAAAGAGTTTCGGGACCGCTGGGGAGGAGAAGACTGGGAACTCCTGGACAGGTAGGCATCCACTGTCATCATTCATGCACTCAGGAGGGGAAATCCGTTAGATCCTGGAGGATCAGTGACCAGGGGAGCAGGGATCTGAGGAGTCTGAGGTGACTAATGCCACCATAAACTTGATGAGTGAGGGAGAGTCTTTGAACATGTCCTGATCTCAAACCTAGTAGGTGAGTGGACCCAAAATACACTACTGCAGCCGCTGATAAAAGAGAGGAGCCATTTCCAGGTGCCTTCTGGCCAGACTGCTGGTTGGCTGTGGGCAGATTGGGCACTGGTGATCATGAAGACTTTGTCCTTTTCAAGCTGTGCAGTGCACAGAGGGTCCAGTTTGGGTCCCTTGGAGTTCCCATATTATGTATAGCAATTGCCCAGAAGAGCAACTGCCAGAGACATGTGAAGATCATGATGTACAGTTAAAATTTCTGAGAATTTTGTAATGAGGGATCTCTGCTGTACAAATCCTAGGCCTCTGGGTTTGAAGTTCTAGGTTTTGGGGGCTGTCCTGTCTTTTCTGTCAGTTGACTGCAGAAAAGAGTAGCATCCTGAGTAATGAGAGCATGGCAGTAATCCCATGTTGCCAGTTCTGCTTCCTCCTAGCCTGGTGTGTACAGCTTACTCCTGACCAGTCCTGCTCTCAAGGGTACATAAACACTCAGTAAGTGTCATTACATGCCTGCTTATGGATTGTGATCAGGTTTTCCCTAAATCTACCCTTCTCCTTTCTGCTAGGATCTTGCAGGCCGGGCTGGAAGTTGAGCGTCTCTCCCTGAGAAACTTTTTCCACTGGTTTCACTCGAAGCGAGGCATGTGGAACCGGCGCCAGCTGAAGACACTGTAGCCTTCAACCCCAGAGCTGCTCGGCAGCACCATCCACCGTCTCATCTCAACATGCACTTTATCAAGGCACACAGCCGAGCACACAAACTCTTCCTCTGCCTCCAGAGCAGCACAGCCGAGGAAGGGACAGTCAGGCTACGGGCGCAGGAGCTTCTGTTGTGAGCTGTTGTATCCAAGACATGGGATCCTTGTCTTGCTCGAAAGGCATGAGGGGGAGATGTTGACAAGTGAAGGATTCGTATTTCCTGCCATGCAGTTTGGTGGATGGTACAGTGGGAGAGGTGCCATATTTCCTGTTGAGTCTTGTGTGGTGCAAACCAAACAAACACAAATCCCAGCTAAGCCCAGAATGGTTTATTTAGAGTAAGGGAGCTTCACTTTCAATACTTGAATGAAAAAAAGAAAAAAAAAAACCAACCCTCCCCATTTCCCTTCCTTCCCCATCTCTCCAGTATCCATGCTTTTGGACAGGGGACCAAAGTAAGTTCTCTGAACTGTTTTCTGTCCACATGCCCATGTGCTGACCCAAGGAAATCTGGATGTGGAGAAGCTGATAGGCACTTTAGGCTGCTGGTGCTTCAGTGTTTCTCTGTTCTTTTCACTTTAGTGATTATGAGAAACTGTGCTCATATTCAGCAAATTATGGGCCATTGATGAAGATGCAGGTACACTTCCCTTATGAAACCCACATTTGCCTGTAGCTGGGCAAGGTCGCAAGGGTTGATGTTACAACTCCACCTAGATTATTGATCCACTACCTGAGGATAGTGGAGGGGTTATACAGAGAAGCTAAGAGGGCATCTCAGGAGGAACTTTGCAGCCTTATCTGACAGACATGTGTGTTTGTCCTAACGATATCAGGGAAACCCTACCAAGGAAGGAGTGGCAATATTTTATTAGTTGAAATATTGTTATTTTTTCCGAAAAAGAGGAGACAGAGTATTCTGCTCTCTAAATCCTGTACATTTGTGCAGCATCTGAAGGTTAATTTAATAAGTTATGGTCTCACAGTTATGTCTTGTCATAGTTGGACTTTTATGTAAAGAGAAGTCTTCTTGGTTGAAGAACCAGCACAGCTGTTGGTGCTTCATCTCTAGAACAGCCCTGGGACCTCTGGCCTGGTATGGAGGAGGAGGTGGCCTCAGGCCTCGGCACATGCACTGGGTGCAAAGAACAGTGAGGACAAAAGAGGGCTGAGTGACTAAAAGGATGGGCAGACACATGCCAACATTGATCCAAGAACTGTGAAAAGAGCCCCTGTCCACAGCCAGCCTGATGCTACAGGGATTTCCCATCCCCTAAAACTCCTGTTAATGTAAGGCAAGATTTTTTTACCCCTGGAACTGCTTTACAGGACTCTAGAAACCCAGAGATCCCAGCACAGTCAGTGCTCTACACTGGAGGTTTAATGTCTCCAAATCATGCTGAAAAGGCTGCTACTGGTCTCAGCCTTCAGTGGAGAGCGTGACATAGGATGCCGCTCATGGCGTCCAGCTCTGTGGGGAGTTGTTGAAAAGCGAGTAATGGAGGTATGCAGGATACAAGCAATGCTGACACAGTTCTAGAGTTGTTTGCTTTTTACGTTGATGGAGTGGATGCCAATTCAGAATAGGCATTCATTTATTATTAATTCTGTGGTGCTTGACAAGTCCATCAAGTTCCACTATTGGAGTAGAAAACTGAACATGCAAGTTCCGGCACGTGAGATAGAAATCTTGTCAAATCATCTGCTTGCCTCAGTCTGGGCTTTGTGACTGATGGAGTCAGAAAAAGTCAACGAGATTTCAGAAAGTTTCACTGTGCACTGTGCAGTAATGATGAGAAGTAGATGAGAGTTGGCTGTGTCTCTGAGTGCGCGGAGCCTTTGCCAGAGTGCAGATGCTGAGTATCTCAGAAGAGGCAGCCTTAGCCCTCTGCCCAAGCCAGAGCAGTCTTTATTGAGGGAGAGTACTTTATCCATGTAGAGACTAAGAAATGAAACGCTGCAGTTGGGGCAGAAGGGAAGAGGCTAACAACAGTTAAAACTATTATTATTTTTTGAAATTTATTATAGGAGTTTAGGAGGCCAGAGCCCTGTGATGCAATGTTGCAATAAGCTCTGTATCTGCCTGGAATGTGCAGTGTCAGTTGTGCTCTCAGTGCGTGTCAGAGCCTGTGCTTCTCTCAAACACAGGCACAACCCCATGAGCATGCAGGTGAGCTGCTCTCCAGGCTCTGGGACTGCGCTTCCGCAGCCTGTCCAGGCTGGCTCTGTCACGCAATCCCTGTGGAATGGGGAGAGGCTGGCGGGGAGAGCGAGCGCTGGGACGCAGCGAGATATTAGCGGGACCCAGCTTTCACCCCATCAAGCAGTGAACAGCATAATGTCCATTTTGCAGATGGAGAGCTGATGGATTCAGTGGCCGCACTTATGTCATGCACAGGGAGGAAGGGTTATTTGCACCGTGTGCTTTCACATCTGACTTACATGTGGACTACAGCACGTAAAGTTAGCAGCTGGCATTCATCTGCAGACACTAGCAAGAATTAGGTGCATCCAGAAGGTAACTCACTTGGCTTAAATGATACAAGTAACCCCTCTTTCTCACCAGAGAGGACAGTCTGCAAAGAGTGGACTGGGAAGGAGGGTGCAGCCCTCACTCCAGCACTGCCAGCAGAATTTGAGGATTTCTCCCCCATGCTTTAGCTGTGACGGTACTCCTTCCTTCATGTCTTGTAACTCAGGCCAGCGGCCAGCAGAACTGTTTACCTCGTGAGGATTCCTTGGTGGAGATGTGAAGAGTTAGTGGGTGTCAGTCCAGTTTCCTGATGGCCAGTATCCCCACTGTCAAAGCTACCATCACAAGTGTTCTTCACTTTCTAGCACAGTGGGGATTCTTAGTTGGCATTTAAGCACTGAGGTAGTAAATGTGATTAATACTAATTGACACTAGTTGGCAGCCTCCATGGAGGAGCTTGGAGAGAGCCCATGGAGAGAGTCCATGTAGGGAGAGAAGGGACTACAAGCTCCCCAGCTTGCTGGCCAGCAGCAAATCTTGCAGGAGCAGCGCCTGGCTTTGCTCTGAGGCTGCTGCCCCTCTTCCAAAACAACCAGCGGTTTTCCTCCCCAAACAGAGTCACAAAGAGAGGGACACCAGGGAGCACGGCAGGAGCAGGTAGTCCCACAGCCATGCAGTGGAAGGATGTGGCCATCCAGGGCGGTGGCCAGGCCACCACAGTCCCTGATCGGCAGGTGGTTTGCCCCATCACTGGCGCTGCACAGCGTGCACTGCTGCTGCAAGGAGGGCTCACCTCTGGGTCCGGCACAGCCCCCAGAGACCAAGGGGGAGCCTGGCTTCACCACAGACAGGAAGCTTGTTTCTGTCACCAGAATAATTTTAGGAAGCTGTGCTTGAGTTTGCAGTGAAGTTTGCCCCGAGTTTCTGGCCTTTGTGTGTATCCTGGCTGTGTCCTGCCTCGACAGCAGGAGGAAATCAGTTGTGTAGGATTTCCTGTGCATCAGGCAGGCAAGAGGGACCCGCTCCAGCAGCTCTCTTGCTGGGGACAGCTGGGGAGATGATGGGCCAGATGAGATCTCCCCTGGAGCAGGATGTGGCCAGGCTGGGGACCCTGGGTCCCCAAGAGCAGGGCGCATGGCAAGGGGGCTCTGCCCACAAATGCCAACTCCGTCTTCATAACTGTGAATTGTGGGGCTGAGGCTTGTTTTGCAGGTCAGCAAAGGTAAAAAAGAAGGGCTGGCTTTTATTCTGAGAGAAATGTATTGTGTGAAAACTATAATGTGACTTGTTTTGTCATTGTCTTTAATGTTTGTCCAATATGAACATCTCTCCTCTTCTCATTGCCTACAAATGTCTGAAGTTGATTGGTTTTTAGATACTGATGCCTTGTGTTAAAAATCTGAATTGTACCTTTGAATTATCTGCCTTAAAGTGGCTCTGTGCCTTCAAGACAACTCCTGGGCCACCTCTCTGTTAGAGCTAGGGGATATACTGGTTCTCCCTCACATTTTATAAATACATTGTCTTCCTACAAGAGCTTGGTTCTGTTCATGTGTTACTCAAACCTGCATCACCGTTCAGACAGGTGTTGCTCCTCTGCCTTAATATAACTGAAGGTGTAGGCAATACTAGAGAGACAGGTCACTCCCTGCCCAAGCAAGCGAGAGCTCTGCAGCAAGAGGTGGGTGGGAGATGCAGTGAACAAGGTTAGCCAGGAGTGAGACCTGTTCAGTCCCCTCTAGGGCTGTAGAAAGCAGGATGGCAATGAAAGAGTTTTTCTCCTGTCTTTCTGGGTTCATCATGTGAAACAAGGTAGAAACGTTGGACAAATACACGTCCCTGCAAAGCACAAGTGTGATGTGGTCATAGAGAGAGAATGTGGAGAATGAAGCAGTCCCTCTTGCAAGCAGGGGACAATTCCTGGAGAAGACCACAGGTGAGAGCCTAGACTTGAGCTCGGTACTTGGCACAGCCTACACAAAACCTGCTTATTTAGATTCAAATTTGGCCACTTTTCGCTTCAACTGTACTTCCTTTGAGTATAAAAAGCTTGGCAGGAATAGGAGTCAGACCTGGAGAGGGAAAAAGGCAGCCAAGGTTGCTATTGAGTCTGATTCCATTATAATGAGAAACTATTATTAAAGGTGACATGGGAAAAGTATTCCAGCTCCCTGCCAGTTTTCTGCTTGCCTAGGCTGGGTGACGGGAATCCCTCTCTGCTTGGGCAGGCCTTGCACGCTGCCGTACCTGACCTGGCAGTTCTCTGAAACGATGATGTTGAAATTAAAATCTGGTAATGAAATTCCCCTTGCTGATTCTTTCCCAGCTGAAACTTTTCTCTTTTTTACTCTTTTTACATTCAGTCACCAGTGCTAATTGCTTTGCCTCCTGCTCTGGGAAGCAATGAGACACAGGATTTGGGTTCTGCACACGGGATGCATAATTTTTTACGTTTTCATGGACCCAGCTGGCCAGTAGTGGTTGAAAGCCCGTAGCTGGTCGTTTTGCATTGTCTGGAACTAGTTTTACTGCCTCTACAGTGAAGCCTTTTTCTAGAGGAGAGCAGGATAAGAGAGGCTTCCCAGAAACAGTTTCTCCTGGTTTGCTGTCAGTCTCAGCAGAGATTGAGGACCGAGATAAGCAGCAAACTCAGCTTTACTCCAGACGTGCCTTCCCCCAGACAATGTGGATGACGAGTCTTTACCTGTTTCACCAAACAGATCCCAGAGTGTGCTCAGCTTTGCTAATTTAAATTCTGGTAAATACACAACTGACATTTTCTACCCTACTCTTTCTGTGCAACTTTCCTTCAACTGCGAAAAAGTCACTGTCATTTGCAGGTACTAGCTGATGCTGGCCCCTAGCCTAACCTGTCAGACTTTGTAGGCAAGATCATTCACACACTCCCCAGAAAAAAGCCCAACCTGTGACTTAAACAAAAATTTAGTTCTGTAAAGTCAAATATAGAATACAAATGAAATCTGCCATATCTGTTTGGGTTTTGGTTTTTGGTTTTTTTTTTTAGGTATCAGACACTCCCAGTAGCTCCTGAAGACCAATATGTGGACATTTTTGTGATATTTCTTTCTCAGCAGTGGCAAGAGCATGCAAAATGAAAAATCTATATTGAACTCTGATTCTGCTGTGCAATGAAAAAATCATTTAATAATCAGAAAAGCGTGTCATTATTTAAATAGCCTTACACAAGGCTACTAAAATACCAATTTTTTAGCATGACTACAGAGTTACAAAATATAGGATCAAAAATTTTTACTCTTTCAAAAAAAATCTGAAAAATCATTAATTCAAAGACTTTTTTTTAGGAAAACAAATTGTTCTAGTACAAGAGAATTCCCAGCATTGTCGTATAAAAATGATATATTTAAAGACATTTATGTTAATGATAAGACCTTAAATTATAATGGTGATTTTTTAATTAACTAATACACTATGCATCTGTCATTTCTCATTGTGGCAATAGGCCTAGAGTGTCTCCTTATGTATAATGATTCTTCATTTTCTACTAAATATTGTCAGGCTACTCTGACACTGTTCCTGATAGGTCCCTGGCGATGATATCAGACCATAATATCTATTTGCTGTTATTGTTAATTTTGCAATGCTGGAAGTATCTGATTGTTTTCTTAATTGTGTCACATTTAATTTCATTTTTAAACAACTAGGAAAACTTTTGAACTGGTTTAGCTACATTGACATACACACACTTTCCTATCCTCCCATGAGAACTTTTTTTTTTAGTTTGAGAAAGCCATTCCAACATTTGGGAGGTAAACTATTAGATAGCTTTGCTTTAAGTATAGCAACTTATGCTTGAGACAAAAAAGCTGGACTTTCTTTGTTTATTTAGCCTACAAGGTAAATTGTTTGGTCTTCTCTACAAAATGAGCCAATATTGAATATGTGAAGCAGGCAACTAAAATAAGAGATTTACAGAACTGTGCTTTGAAATTGTGTACCTGCTGCTGTTCCTGCAGCTTTCTCTAGTAAAGTTGTCTCTGGCTTCAAAAGGCAACAGAAGATTTCACTCCTTCAGAACTGCAAAAGCATTAAGGTAAGAGGCCAGTATACCATGAAATGCACGCAGTTTCGATAGTTGAACCCAGTTCTCTGAATTTGTTGATGGGCTGCTGCTGAGATCAGTAAAAATGCAGAGGAGAGATTTCCCCACCAGCCGTGCTGCTCAGATCCTGCAGGAAAGAGAATAAATGCCAGTAAGGTCGCAGGAGACTCCTTGGTGCTGCACAGGCAGAGAGGAGCTGTCACAGCATACTGAGTCACTTGGCACCACGGCCACCTGTTTTTATAGAGCCTCTTGGCCTTTGCATCCTCCCTCATTATGTCATTTCAACTGTCAAGCTTTCTTGCTGGCCGTTCCCCCTGTATGTTGCATTTAAACTATGTTTACATGTTACAGGTCATATAAGCAAGAGCTGTGAACTTTGCTTCTTGACCTGAAGCACTTCTGACCTAAGAACATGTCATTCCCTCATTGACTTGACATGGGAACCCAAGCATTTGATTGGGCTCTTATTCACAAGACTCTGTCTTGAAAATGAAAGCTAGATTCTTAAAACTGTCCCTGCCAAACCACACTGGCTGTTGTGAAGAGCTCTTTCACCCCTGCCACAGCAGCACCTGCTTTTTCTTGTATTCAGGTAATGCTGCCATTTTTTGATACCTGTCAGAAGGCACCTAGTTTTCTTGTCCAAACGTACCTCCGATCTACAACTGCTATCTGTATCTAGGATGAGCTCTGCAGCCTTCTGAAAATCACTTGCTGCTGATAAATCCCAGCACTTGGGATGTTTGGTGTTCTTGCTTTAAAGACCAAGCCAGGAGAAATCCTCCTCCAAAAGAATTTGTTCAGTGGCCCCAGATGCTTGTGGGACAACGTGCCTCTGGAAAGGCTGTGTTAATTTGTGCAGCTGTGCCTTCTCCTCCATTTTGCAATGATGTTTTCTGAGAGCAAGCCCTTCCAGGGACTGGCAGTGATGGGAACTCACCCATTTCTTACCTGACTCCATTGGCCCATGACTTAATAAGGTCGAAAGCTCCTGGTAGGGTAGAGGCCAGTCTTCTGCACCCCAAAGGCCGTGATGAAGATGTTGATGATGACTGTGACGAAGACGAGAGCTGTGGCAATGTTGTTGAGTATATCCAGGCTGGGTTGCTTTTCAACATCATTCAAGTTCAAACGAGCTGTGCGATATCAATGCAAAAAGAAGGGCAGACTAGCTTCAGCTTGACTAGCTTCTAGCTTGACTCCAAGTCCCCCAGCCCCTGCAAGCCTTCCCTGCCTGGCAAATGTCCATGGTGCCCCTGGCCACTGTGGCCACAGAACTATGGGAATAGTCCCAGGAACTTTACAGGAGCTACAGCTTGCCCTAGGACAACACTGGAGGACAGACCAGAGGAAAAACATCTTTTTTTTATATCATGTCTTTGTTTTGCCATGGAAGTACCATGGCCCTCCAGCAGGCCAACCCTAAGTAGCCAAATTACTGCTACATGTTGGCCAGGCATGTGCCATGTCGCCCCCACAATGCATGGCCATGTGACATGGTAAGGAAAGGCTGGGTGACGTGGGGGACAAGGTCAGCAACGTTGTAATGGGGTTGAAAGATCAAGTCCTCCTTGACACCCAGATCTCGCGAATGTCCTGACCCAGTTACCAACCCCTTCCTCACCCCCAGACCACAAGGTATCTGGGCACATTAATGGGACCAGCCCTATCTGGTGGGCATTGATCAGTTCAGACACGGTAACACCCTGGTTACTGAGGCTGTCTGGCTGAAAAGCCATGTCTTGTGGCTCAGTTGGTGTGCCCTGTCCCCCTTCTCCTCACTGCTGGCTGCAGCCACTGTGGCTGCCACTGGGAAAGGCTGTGCCACGTGGGGCAGGGGAATGAAGATGTCACAAGATTTCCTGTAGCCTCTGATCCCCTGTCCCCCATAAAAAAACACATAGGATATACAGGCAAAGGCAGCGTTCTGCAGACTTTTAATGCTGAGCATGTGTTGGAGGCTGAAGTGTAGCAAGTCCTGTATCAGATGGAGCACTGGGCAAGCCTGTCTGAAATGCTGGTGTTAATGTACTGTCTGTGTGGCACTAGGAGAACCGTGAGACTGGTTAAATGTGAGGTTGATAGAGGGAATACCTCTGCCTAAATTGTTCTGTTAGGCCCCAGCTTGAGTGAGGCAAAAGATACAGCTAAAACGCGGTATCTGCAGGAGCTGCACGAAGGCGCACATTACAGGATGGGCAGCACGAGGCCCAAAACCCAGCCCTCGCCCTCCTATGGGGATTCAGCAGTGGGGAAGGGAAGGAAAAGTAGTGCTCAGAGCTGTTGTGCAAGAGAAAAAAAACAACCCCCTCCCCACTTGGCAAAGCAGTAACACAGACCTCCCCACCACCTGTGTCTAGCTGTCTTCAACCCTCCCACAGCCCTGGTTGGAGCCAGGGGGAATGGTTTGGGGGAAGAAGCCTCTTCCTTCCCCCTCCGTGCCAGCCAAGCCACGGGGTGCTCTGCCCCTGCAGCACCCCGTGAGGGTGCATACATCTTGGCAGCTACCTTACCAGAGATGATGAGGAGAATCCCAATCACCACCTGGAAGAAGAGGGAGATGCTGATGAGCACGATGAGGGTGGTGTAGTACTGGAAGGATGTCCCCTGCTCCACCACTGCTTTGAGCTGCGTGACATTCGCCATGAACAACGCCATGTCCAGCATGCTCTCCGCCACGCTCTTCTTCGTTGCGTAGTGGTTGACGTTCATCTGGATCTGAGGATTCACGGCCTGAGGAGACAGGAGAAACCTCATGAACTGATATGATTGCTAAGCCGACAGACCCATTCGTGTCAAACGGGATGCTGTCTCCCCACAGGGTTTGTCTAGAAAGCCTGGGAAAAAGTCAAACCTGCATGTTTTAAATGTGTTGAGAGCTCCCAGTTTCCCCTCACAGTCGCCTCATGATATTAATAGGCACCAGATACTTGCAGTGATCAAGAGCTGAGCAAGATTAGAATAATACTGGGTATTTTTGTGGAAAACAAGCTTGTCCAGAGTTACAATAATGTAGATTACCCAGAGCCAGGGATTTTGCAAGGAATATTAAATTCTCTTCCTTCAGGGCACAGACAAGCCTCAAATTTACCAGGGATTAGAAAGAGATCTTCTCTTTGGGTCTGGTTTTCAAAGGACTGTCAGTGGCTGGGCTTTGTATCTCCTTGGAACACTTCTTGCTGGCTACTGTCTTAGACAAGATGCTAGAGCAGATGTGACAATCCACATTTTTGTTTCTGAAACCAGGGGCACTATTTCTTCAAAATGTCAGGTATGGAAATGCACCAAGACAAGGAGTGGGATCCATCATGCCTAACTTAAACTAATCATTCAGGCACATTTTTTGTTAGTGGAAAGAAACAGAAATTTACAAGGGGTAAATCACCTGATTGCTCTTAATCTCATTAAAAACTGTGGGTCTTTTTGCTGCTCTTAGCCATCCACCTTTTCTCTATCTTGTTTGGTGAGTTTCCCTGTTACCTGTCTTGACACAAATAATGAAAAAAAAAAAAATAGAAAAGACAGTTTGCAATTCACCCAGAATGTCATCAGCTGGTAATAAACCACCCATAAGGGCAACAATTACAAAAGATTTGGATGTATCTGCAGCAAGCTGTGATCTTCTTTCTTATAAAGAAAGAAAAACAACACTTCAGTGTAGCAGACAGGCCTCAGCTCTGGCTAATCATCCCCCTGTAAGCTGTAGTGGGGATCGGCAGCATTGCTCTCAGCACCGTGGGATGCATAACCCTTTAAATTTGGAGATAAAGACCAGCTGTGGGTCTAAGATGACCTGTTTTGCTCAGAGTGGTGGGAGAGACTCCTCCAGGTGCATACAAGAAGTAAGGTGGTGTTTACATCACATGGTAAGTCCTATTTTGGACCTTTTGTACCAGCTAAAGTACAAAATGTAACCTTTCTTCTGTGCTCTGGGCATGATGCTAGAGAAGGGTTATGGCTGGTGCTTCATGCTGCTGTTTGAGGTCTCTGTGCATCCTTGGGCAAAAGTGGCTTTCTCTGTGCCAGGCTAGGAGTGTGAGCAAAGTAAATGATCCTGGGGGAGTGCTGCGTGTGGCTGTGTGTCTGATACTGAAATGGGGGCTGAATTTTGGAAGGGGGTTGTGGCCTGTGCCAGCGATCACCCTCACATCAGAGAGATGTGTAGTAAAAAGCTGGCAGGAAGGACTGTGCCTAATTTGAACTATTGGTGAACTGTGATCCCTAAGAAGGAGCTGGGTCAAGGTAGGAAAGTGCTTTTGGGCATTTTTTTTTTTTTTAAATCTTAAAGCATGAAATTCTTGTGGTTTTTAACAGTAAAGTTACTGTGGTTAAGAGGCTCCTTTGCAAAGCCTGTGTTTCTTGCTGTGGAAGGTAGAAGTTAAAAGATATTGGAAGGAGATAAAAGTCGAAGTCTAAAGAGCCAGTAAGGACTCTAGGGCGGTATGTAGGGGTTCAGGACTCCTTAAACATTACTGTCTGATGTCTGGGGCAAAATATAGGTATCTCAGGGAGATGAAGCCAGCAAAAGGTCTGATTCTGGGAAAACACCTTAAAACCCTAGGTTTGGGTACTGCCCCCTCTCAGCTGGCTTAAAAGTGCATGATCCTGTTGCAACAGAGGGGTACCCACACCAAGTGGTGCAAGGTTTGAGATTTGACCCCTTTCATGTGTTTTCTTCCTTATTCCTGATGAGTCAGCCTTTTTCCCTGAGGTGTCACAAGGCTGGGCATTGATAGTTTATCGCTGCGTAATGATGAGTTAAGAGTACCAGAACAAGGAGGCTGCACAAACAAGACAAAGCTTTTGTTAAATGAGTGACTGGTACAAGGAGGCCGAGACATCTGTTCCTAGCTGCTTATGTGGAGAGAAATAAAGGAAGCTAGGAGCTCTTCTTGAATGAAAACACGGCCTCGTTTTGAGCTGCCCCCGTGTTTCTTTACCTGAAGTGTGAAATGGGGCAGACTCTCAGTGTACTGAGCTCTGTGTCCCAATGATCAGGAAATGAACACAGACAGCTTTCACATGGGCTTTTTTTGTGTGGATGAACTCAATGACGTGTTCCTCTGTTTGGGACATGATACCACAGGCAGGGATGGCCACTGCTCTCTGATTTGGAGTGACTGGATTAGGGAAACTCTTGCACTGAACAATGAAATACTGTGATTCCGGTTTCCAAGTTCTGTCAGCCCAGGCTTAGCAGATCCACAAAGGTGGCCAAAAGGTTACTGAATTATGAAAGCTGGACAGCAAGCTTTAATTTAGGTAGCTAAAGAGCCAACCAGTTTGCAGGAGTCCTTATGGGGCCAGCTAAAGTTAGAGAAATCCATCTCCTCTGTGGATTTGGCCCTTACAGAGTATTCTGCCTAGTCCAGCAGCTAGGAATGCAAGCCTGGAGTCTCAAATAACAAGATGCTTAAACCAGGAGTCTTCAGAGAACTGGCATTTCCATTAATACAGGAGGATGGCTTTGCTTAGGATGCCAGGTGCCATAGCTGTCACCAGCTAACCACTGCATCTGTGGTGCATGACTGTATGGCTGTGACTTTTTTTTGAGCTGCCACAATGCACGTACAGCTCTTCAAAATGGGAAGCTCTTCAAAAAACATTTCTGCTTTTGCTTTGTCTTAAAGTTCAGTCCTGTGAACTGCTGTGGCTCATGAGCTGATTCACAAGCAACTCGCGTTTCCCTGCAGCAGGATTGCCCAGACAGTTGTTGGGGGTTATATGGGACCACTGGGGAGATCAAACAATTCCCTTCTGGCAAGCAGAGCCCTAAGTCAAGTCACAGGACATACCTGAAAGCTTCTCAAAGTGATTTATGTCATCAGGCTAGAGCTAGTGTCTTTCTAGTCACTTTGAAAGTGTCCCCCTTCTGACAGTGGGGATTGCTGCCTTTTCTCCGTGTTGCGTTGAAGAGAGGAAACCTGGATCTGGCGGTCATCTTGCAAGTGTTGTTGCAGAGCCAGCATGTCTGCTGGAAAACAGCACCTACCACTATGCAGCACTTTTCCAAGATGGGGATGTGTCATTATTGCCCACTTTTTAAGGGTAGGGGAATTAGAACTTGAAAAAGTACAGCCCAGTCACACAACAATGCTGGCCAAACTGGTACTGGAGCTTGGTTCCCATGTCCCATTTCTGGATGTTTTAGCTTTCCATGTGAGACAGTCTCTTT